GTATGTACGTATGTATGTATACATATATATAATATTATGTGGGTTTATGGGGAATATGGCTCAAGGTCTACTTGCAAGCAGTCTTGACTTAGTTTGTAGGCGGACTCACCACGTTGGACTTACCAAGTCCAGAGGGCCTTCAAGTAATTAAGGGTTTTAGGGTTTACTGGTTCCTCCTGCTTCCTTGCGGGGCCTTTTTTGCAAAGATGCATTTTATGCATTCCTTCTTGGGTTTATGAATCTAGTATGATGAAGCCTGCAGGAACTCCCGGGGGCCATCCACAACGACACAGCCAGCAGGGAGAGTCTTGAATGTGGGGTGGGTGGGTTAAGATGCTTGAGAGAGCCGACTCCAGAAGCTCACCATTAGGATCATTTTCTGCCTCTACTTGAGAATATTCGTTCCTCACTTGTCGTGGAGGCTCCCCAAATACTGCTTGAATTCTTCAAGCCTGTAGAACAATATTATGCCAAGTTACTCTACCGAGCTCGCATAGTGCAAGGTGTGTTCCATAGCTAAAGGACATAGGCTACTAGCACAACGAGTAACAATAGTACAATAGTAGTAACAGTTGTAATAATCGTGATCGTAGTAATAATAGCAATGATGGCAATAATAGCCATAGCAGTACTTACAGTAGCTATGGAAATAATAGTTATAAGCGTGGGCGGATGGAAATGGCCACGGCGGTGGTATCAGCCGTTGTGCTGTCAGCAAGATGATAAAAAGAGTAACAAGAGTAATCTAAACTCCTACTATCCCCCTTTATAAGCCTATAATACTCCCCTACAGATAACCCTCTGTAACACACTAGGTGACAGCCTAGTAATCAGTAAGTGTCAGTGGTAGCATTAACGGTCAACTCAAATGGCCACATGAGCTACGGACCAAATTTAGGTTGGGGGGACCTATAGGGGAGTACATAGGGTTTTGGGGGGACCCTTTAAGGGATATACTACAAATTTTAGTCCAGGGCTCACATGAACAGCCATAGCTTTGCATACTGTTCGTGCTAGACATGTGGAGGTCTTGGTGGCCCGGCCAAGACAGCGCCGCTCGCAGGACAGTGAAGCAGATTAGCCAGTTGCTCTGCTTCGGAAATAAATAAGATGAGAAAAAATAAAAGCAAGAATAGGTAATAGTAATAATAGTAGTAGTAGTAGCCATAGTAATAGTAATAGTGCTCGTAATGGTAATAGTAATAGTAATAGTAATAGTAATAGCAATGGTCGTAATAATAGGTGATTGCCACTTAAACCCTAAGACCTTGAACCCTAGGGTTTAGGTTATTTTAGGGTTATTCAGGGCTTAGGGTTTAGGGTTTGGAGTTCAGTCTATGTACCCTGAACTCTGAGTCTAACCCCTGTACAGAAAATCACGCACACTATGCAACTACCTCTATACGATATAAATACACACACACATATATATATATGTGTGTATGTATCATATACGTATATGGAACTCACACCGTAAGCCCTACACCCTAAGAACTCACACCGGAACTCCGGATTCGTGACTGAGCCAGGAGCCACCTCGGACTGTGTCACCAGGCATCGCAGCGGCCTTGAAAGACTCGCACAAGTCCATCATTGAGTAGTATTTTATTTGGGG